CATGCTCACCAGACAGAGAGAAACAAAGAAATAGAAAGCAAGAAATCATCCTCTAGGGAAGATGACCATGCTCAGTCTCTTCTCCTCCATTCTCCTTCCTGGTTCTTGGGTCTGCATGCACACATGCCCAGCTTGAGTTTTAAGCCACCAGGTCTAGGACTTGAACCATTGTCGACTGCATGGGAGCCCAGCAACATAACCATTATGCCATCTGCTGGTCCCTAGAAGAGGGTATTCAGTACTGGATTCCTGTGCTTTTAATGCTGATGTTTAAGCAACTTGAGTTTCGCTTCCTTCTGATACTTTGTCTCTATTTTGATCTGACCTTAGATCTTTACTAACTACTATGATCTGTCCCAGCCTAAGGTTTTTTATTTAGTCAAATATATTTAATAAATTACTTAATAATAAAGATAATGTCTGTCAGTTATGGAGCATTCTTCCATGACAGGCCCCGTGCTGCTGTAATGGATATGAACCTTGGTTTACAAACTCAGTAGTGTATTAAGTATATTTCTTTTTATGTTAAAAGCATTTAAATTAAATTTGTGGCCTGTATCCTACTGGGCTAGTCAGTAAATTGAGTCTCTGTCATTACATTGTCTCCTCACTCCTATGTTTTGTCAAGACCTCAGCATCTCAGGCAGCATCGAAGTATCAAAAGCATTTGGGATTAGCCTCTCTGGTTATTGGTTACTGGCCCAGATCAGTTTAAACTAACACAACAATCTCCCTTGCCTTACGACCCTGCACTGCTGCTGCTCCCATGCACTGCTCGGGGCATAACAATCTTTGATGAATCCACCAGATCAAAAGTTTAGGGACCACCAACCTAAGTTTACTCTGGGTTGCTGCTATAGAGTGGAAAACAGACAACTGATTTACCAAACTTCATCTTTTTTCCCTGTTTGAGAAATAATTACCACCACCTCCTCCATTTTGACCCAAATATCATGCTCCCCTTCTCCTCTGATTTCCCTTGAGGACATCCACGGTCTCTTCAGTGCACCTTGGCCTTCAAAAGTCACATACTGACTCTAAGCAGCTTCTGAGTGTCCTCCCTTCAAACTTCCTCTTGTCCCAAAAGAAATAAATTCTAAGGACCAGCAAATGGCATAGCGGTTACATTGCTGGACTCCCACATGTATGGCTGCGGTTCAAATTCTGGACCCAGCGGCTTGAAACTCACACCGGCATGTGTGCATGTGTGCCCAAAATTCCTAGAGGATACTGTAGAAGAAGGGAATGAAGTATTGCTGTCGCCTCTGGGGGACGATTTTCGCTTTCTGTTTCTCTGTCTCTGGTGAGTGCCTGTACCTTGTAGCAAAAATCTCTCTTAAAAATAAAGAGTAAAAAAGAAAAGTTTTTGGGAGAGGCAGCAGATGGCATAGTGGTTACATCTCTGGACGCCTAAGTGGTAGGCTACAGTTCGAGTCCCGGACCCGGTGGTTTGAAAATCGCAGTGCATTCATGCCCACTCAAGATCCTGGTGGGAGAATGGAGAAGGGATTGCGGCGTGGCGATCCCCCCTGGGGGGTGATTTCTCGCTTTCTGTCTCTCTGTCTCTCTCTGTCTGTCTGGTGAGCGCACGCGCCCTATAGCAAAAAAATACTCTCCAAAAAAAAAGGAGAAAAAAAAGATCCTGGCAGGAGAATGGAGAAGGATTGCTGAGTGGCCATTTCCCCCCCCCACCCCCTGGGGTGATTTCTCATTTCTCTCTCAGAGCACATGTGACCTAAGGCAACAACTTCTTATAAAAATAAATAAATAAATAAATAAATAAGAAATGTTTCCTTTGCTGAAGGATTTTATCTGCTCTGTCTTGCTGAGTTTCCAGAGCAGTTTTAGGGTCTTAGTTTCAAGGGTAGAACGTGTTTATTTGTATTTTCTAGTTAAGGAGACAGAGGCTTAGGGAGGTACCTGAGAGTGACAGGTCTGGGATTTGATCCTGGGGCAGTGTGCTTTCCAGGGGCTGGTGCCCTTAAGGAAGAGGAAGTGGGTCTTTGGTAGAGGGCTCCATTATTACTGTTAATGTCAATGACCCCCTCCTCCAGGCTGGCGGCCTGTGAGGGTGCCAGCAGGATGGGCCCGGTAGGGATGCATGCTAAGGCCATGTTTGGATATTTGTCCAGGAACACACTGGAATGTGGGTGGAGCTCTGTCCATGCCTGGAGGCTAAATTGGGGTGAGGCTGGGAGCCTTGAGCACCCTGCCCTGCAGGAAGTCAGTGGAAAAAGGGCCCATTCTCTCCGCACAGGTCAATCAGGAACTTAGGTGGGCTGTTCTGGCATGCATGCCAGCCCCTGTGACAGACGCTTTATTAAGCATCAAATCCTCAGCCTCCTTGTAAGAGATGACAATTGTCCCATTTTGCAGATGGGGAAACAGGCTCCGAGGGGCTGGGTGTCCTGTCCGAGGTGGTGAGCCCTAGCACTCGGAATCGGATCAGCTCGTTAGACTCCCAGACCTTGACTCATAACCACTGCAGAATAGCCACAGGATGGTACAGAGTTTCTGGGGGTTGCTTTTGTTTTTCTGTGTTGTTTGTAAATTTTTGCTCTGGGGCGCATGTGCTCACCTAAGGCAGAGACAGAAGGAAAGTGAGAAAACATTCCAAGTGTGTGTGTTTGTGGGACAATGGCCGTGCTACAATCCCCCCCCCTCTGTTTTCTTCTCGGGGTTTTGGGCATGCACACACATGCGCCTGGTGTGTTTTCAAGCTGCCAGGTCCAGGACTCAACTGCACAGTTACCATGGGATCCAGCTGCTTTAACCACCTTGTCGCTGGCTCAAATGTCCAGTTTGTCTTAGACTTCTCAAAGTCTTTCCTTTTCTTTCTTTCTTTCTTTCTTTCTTTCTTTCTTTCTTTCTTTCTTTCTTTTTCTTTAAGAGAGATCTTTGCTATAGGGTACGTGCAGTCACTGGAGAGACAGAGACAGAAAGACAAAGTGAGAAATCATCCCCTCAGGGGAGATGGCCACACCTCAATCCCTTCTCCATTCTCCTCTCTGGTATTTTTTTATTTGGAGAGGTTTTTGCTATAGGGCGTGTGCTAGCCAAGACAGAGAGAGACAGAGAGACAGAAATCACCACCACCCCCCACCACCACCACCCCCGGGGAGGATGGCCACGCTGCAATCCCTTCTCCTCCATTCTCCTCTCGGGATCTTGGGAATGCACGCACATGCGCCCAGCGTGAGATTAAGCCACCAGGTCTGGGACTCAAACCCCGATGTGCTATGTGGGAGTCCAGCGATATAACCGTTAGGCTGTCTGCTGGTCCCCAAAGTTCTTCCTTTCTTGGAGCACGCAGCCTTGAAAAGAGGCCCCGGGAGTGCCTCCCTTTTGTGGAAGGAGGTGGGGGAGTTGCCCTGGCAACTAGTGGGCTGAACTAGTGGGAAGTGCCTCGGCCCAGCCCCCGTTTCCCAATCCCACTCCTACAGAGACTGAGCGGCTCCTGACCCCCAACCCTGGGTATGGGACACGCACGGGGACTTCACCGCCCCCCCGGACCCCCCCAGAAGAGGAAGACCTCCGCCGCCGTCTCAAGTACTTTTTCATGAGTCCCTGCGACAAGTTTCGGGCCAAGGGCCGCAAACCGTGCAAGCTGATGTTGCAAGTGGTGAAGATCCTGGTGGTCACCGTGCAGGTGAGGCCAGCCACACGGACCCCCACGCAGCGTTCTGTCCAGGGGCGTCTTGGGTTGGGAGCGTCGTCCGGGTCCCTCATTGCAGCATCATTAATGACAGTGACAATGGAGGTGACCAGTCAGGAAGCGATCTGAGCCCCCTGTGTGACGCAGCATCCTCCAGGCTCACAAATGCCTTACGAGGTCCGGCCAGCTGTCCCGACCCCCACCCCCACTGTTCGATGAGGTCACTGGAGCCCAGAGCTGCTAAGGGGCTTCTGCAACGTTACACGGGCCACCGGGTTTGGGAGCTGGGATTGCAAAGCGCGGGCTTTTTGTTTGCTGTAGAGCGCATGCACTCATTGCAGAGGGAGGTGAGAAAGCACCCCCGGGGGATGGGCACTCTGAAATCCTCTTCCCTTCTCCTCTAGTCCTCTTGGGATTTGGGGCATTTTTCTTTTTCTTTTTTCTTAAAAGAATGATTTATTTACTTAATTCCATTTGTTATTATTATTTTTAATTTGACCAGAGACAGAGAGAGGGAGAGAGAAAGGGGAAGTGGGAAAGCAAGCTGCCAGGTCCAGGATTCGAACCGGGGTTGGCCACATGGGAATCCAGCACCTTTCACCACCACGCCACCTGCCGGCCCACACTTGGCATGTTTCTCAAGCCGCTGGATCCGGAACTCAAACCATGCCGTCAACCATGTGGGATCCAGCCACTCCCACCACAGATGCCACAGTCTGAGATTTTATTCCATTTTCCAGGAGCGTTTCAAAGGCCCCTGTAGATGCTCCCTGCTTTGTATTGAGGGTATGGCGGTTGGCCTGATACAGAGCCAATGCAGGGGCCTGGGTGAGCCAGGCAGAGTGAGTTGAATCAGGGACCAGCAGATGGCATAGTGGTTACGTTGCTGGACTCCCATGTAGTCGACCATGGTTGAAGTCCTGGACCCAGCGACTTAAAACTCATGCCAGGTGTATGTGCATCCATGCTCAAAATCCCTGGAGGAGAATGGAGGAGAAGGGATTGCAGTGTGGCCATCTCCCCTGGGGTGAGGGGTGATCTCTCACTCTCTGTCTTTCTGTGTCTCTCTGTGGCCAGTGCTTGCGCCCCATAGCAAAAATCTCCCCCCCACCAAAAAAAAAAGAATGAGTCGAATCAAGTAACAAAAGGCAGGGGCGGGTGGAGATCTCCTTCCCCTTCCTCCCCAGTCCCCGGAGGAAGCCCCCGCCCCAGGCTGGCTGCCAACCTCCCGGGCCTGTCTCCCCAGCTCATTCTGTTCGGGCTCAGCAACCAGCTGGCCGTGACGTTCCGGGAAGAGAACACCATCGCCTTTCGGCACCTCTTCCTGCTGGGCTACTCGGATGGGGCGGACGACACGCTGGCGGCCTACACGCGGGAGCAGCTCTACCAGGCGATCTTCTTCAGCGTGGACCAGGTGCGGTGCGCGGGTGCAGGCGGGACTGCAGCCGGGGTGGGCGACCCTGGCCCACCTCCCCTTTCTGCACCCACAGTACCTGATGCTGCCCGACGTGTCGCTGGGCCGGTACGCCTACGTCCGAGGCGGGGCAGGCCCTTTGGCCAACGGCTCGGCGCTGGCTCTGTGCCAACACTACTACCGCCACGGCCACGTGGACCCGGCCAACGAGACCTTTGACATCGACCCGATGGTCATCACTGGTGAGCGGCGCAGGGGGGCTTAGCTGCTGAGAGCCAGCTCTGCCTTGGGCATCGTGATCCGGGGTGGCCGTGGTCACACGTGGCTTCAGTGCGATGCTTGACGTGCAGGAAACGGCAGAGATATTAGGGTTTAGTCTTGGCCAGAGGGGTGTGCACTCGCTGGAGAGAGGGAGCGAGAGAAGGCACCTCCGTGGGCACGGCCATGCCGCAGGCCCTTCTCCTCCACCCCCTCTCCTGTCTGCATTTTGGGCGCGCACACATGCACACGTGCCCAGAGTTTCTGAAACCACCACGTCTGGGACTCGAGCCGTGCAGTCGGCCAGGTGGGATCCAGCCGCCCGAACTGCCACACCACCAGCAGTCCCTGTGATTTTTTTTTTTTTTAAGTTTGTTTCTTTTATGAGAACGAGAGGGAGACGTCCCCAGTTCCCTTCCTCCAGCGTTAGTCGGTTGGCCTTAGGCATGCGTACCCCCAGAATTCCAGGTCAGCCCGGGATCCGAGTCTCGCAGTCAGCCGCGTGGCCTTCAGCATCACAGGGGCCCGTCACTGCCCATATCACAACTTTTTAAAGTTTATTTATTTACCTTTTAAAATGTGTTTTTATTTGTTCATTCACTTATTGTAATTTGACCAGAGAGAGACACAGAGAGAGAGAGAGAGAGAGGGAAAGTAAGAAAGCAAGCCACCAGGTCTGGGACTCGAACCGTGGTTGGCCATGTGGGAGTGTCCAGCGCCTTAACCACCACGCCACCTGCTGGCCCCAATATTTATTACTTTTTCTGTGATGAAGAGAGACAGGCAGCACCCCCAGTGGGTTCTCAGTGCCACACTGCACCCCGTCCTAGCCAGCCCCGGGTCACGGAATACGCTGTGAGGTTGGCCTCGCAGCCTGGGGTTTATTGTGCCCCGTCAGCTCCCTGCTTCCTGTGGCCATTCACGGACTAAACGTCTGGGGCCATGGAGTGCCAGCCTGGGGAGACGGCTAATGTTTCCACGCAGGGAAGAAGGCCTCGGGGCTCTGGGAGACCAGCCTGGCCTCGCCCGCTCATGAGGCCCTTCCCTGACTCTGTCCTCAGACTGCATCGGGGTGGACCCCCCCGAGAGACCCCTCGTGCCCCCCAGTGACGATGACCCTGTCCTCTTGGATGGCACTTCTGGTTACAGGAACCTCACGCTCAAATTCCACAAGTACTGCCCGCTCTCGCGGCGGGGTCTCTCCAGGCGGGCAGAGGGATGGGGGAGGCCGTCCCGGGCATGCCGGGGTGGGCAGGGGTGTGTCAGGCGGGGCAGGGGCTAGGGGAAGAGGCAGAGCCCCGGCCCCTTACCCGCGCCTCCCCCCAGGCTGATCAACGTCACCATCCACTTCCAGTTGAAGACCATCAACCTGCAGAGTCTCATCAACAATGAAATCCCGGACTGCTACACCTTCGGCGTCTTGGTGAGGACCCTCCGGCCATCTGGGGACCACAGGGGCCCTGAGTTCCGGGACAGGACCCAGTCGGAGGGAGGCCGGGGCCAGATGATGTCATCCCGGTCCCTGCGCTCGGGGCTGCCCAGGTTCACTCTGCCCTCCCACCCCGCCGCCCCTGCAGATCACGTTCGACAACAAGGCTCACAGTGGGAGGGTCCCCATCAGCCTGCAGACCCACGCCCACATCCAGGAGTGTAAGCACCCCAGCGTCTTCAGGCACGGTGGGCTTGTGGCCACTCAGGCAACACCAACTGGACCCCCGACTTGCCCAGGGATCCCCAAGCCCCAGCCTAGAACCGACCCTTCCAGGGATGCCCGTGCCCCAGCCCAGCACCTGCCGCAGAATCTGAAACCCTAGCCCGCTGCCAACCAGGGACCCCGACTCACCTCACATGACTGCTGAGCACGCTTGGCCTCAGCCTGGCCAAGCCCCGGCCCTGACCCCCAGGCCCCCTCACACCCCGGCTCCCCGGCTGCCCTCCCCGCAGGAGACAACAGCTTCCGGCTGCTGTTCGACGTGGTGGTCATCCTCACCTGTGCCCTGTCCTTCCTGCTGTGCGCCCGCTCGCTGCTCCGCGGCTTCCTGCTGCAGAACGTGAGGCCCCGGCTCACGGGGGGACGGAGCCCGCCCTGCCCAGCTCTGGGGTCAGGCCCTCACCCGCCCCCCTCCGCCTCCTGCAGGAGTTTGTGGGTTTCATGTGGCGGCACCGAGGACGCGAGATCGGCCTGTGGGAGCGGCTGGAGTTTGTCAACGGCTGGTACATCTTGCTGGTCACCAGCGACGTCCTCACCATCTCGGGCACCGTCATGAAGATCGGCATCGAAGCCAAGGTGGGTCCTGCCCATCCCCGCCCTGCCAACCACCTGGGGCCCCGTCTTCCCCGCCGAGGAAAGGCCTGGGCATCGGGTGACGCGTCTCCCGTGTCCCCAGAACCTGGCGAGCTACGACGTCTGCAGTATCCTCCTCGGCACCTCCACGCTGCTCGTCTGGGTGGGCGTCATCCGCTACCTGACCTTCTTCCACAAGTACAACGTGAGCCTCAGCCCGCCGCCTCCCACCCTACCCCGTAACCGGGCACCCTCGGCCCTCACCCGCCCCTGCCATGGCCCGGGCAAGCCTCCTCGGACCAGCCCGCCCAGAAATACCTGTCCCTGCATCCCTGCCCCATGACGGCCACCCAGCCCATCTGCCGTGGGGTACCCATGGACCCCTCAGGGCAGCTCCCACCCTACTTTTCTTTCTTTTTTTAAAATTTAACTTTATTTATTTATTTTAATTTGACCAGAGAGGGACAGAGCCAGAGAGAGAGAAAGGGAGAGAGAGAGGAAGAGAGAAAGCAAGCTGCCAGGTCCAGGACTCGAACTGTGGTCAGCCATGTGGGAGTCCAGCACTCTTAACCACCGTGCCACCTGCTGGCCCCATCCAGCCCTTCTTTTTGTTTCTTTTTGTTTCTTTTTGTTGTTATTTTGCTTTTAGGCATTTACTATAGGGCATGCGCGCTCACTGGAGAGAGACAGAGAGGCAGAGAGAGAAGTGAGAACTCTTCCTTTTCTAGTCTCCTCCTAGGATTTTGGGCAGGAGCGCGCACGGGCCCAGCATGGTTCTTTAGCTGCCAAGTCCAAGACTCAAACTGTGGTCGGCCATGGGGGATCCAGCCACCTCACCTTCCACATCCCCGGCCCTGGCCTGCCCCTGCCCTTCCTAAGCACCCCAGCCTCTGTGGCCACACTCACTGTGCCCGCCCCACCCCACCCCACCCTCTGGTCTGTGGCCACGCCCCCACCTGCCCTCTGTCCCCAGATCCTCATCGCCACGCTGCGGGTGGCCCTCCCCAGCGTGATGCGCTTCTGCTGCTGCGTGGCCGTCATCTACCTGGGCTATTGCTTCTGCGGCTGGATCGTGCTGGGGCCCTACCACGTGAAGGTAGGACTGCGGCTGGGTCCTCGTCACCTGTGGTGGGAGGGTTCCCGGGCCCCCTGGCTCACCCTGCGTGGGCCCCCTCAAACCCTGCTGCCTTCTTTGGCTCTGTCCCCTTTGGTCCCTGGTGACCTTGACGTGTGTCCCATGACCATGTGGAATCGATGGCCCCTGCGTGGCTGCTGGTACTCTGTCCACCAGCCCACTCCTCCTGGTGACCTTGACAGTGACCTTGTGGCTTTATCATGGTCACAGATGCCGATGATGATCCTGTCTTGACCCAGGTTGCTCCACCTTCAGCTCTGTCTGCTGTCCTCTCTGATCTACAGGGGGCTGTCCTCGACCCTGTGACCTTGTTATTGACCCTGCAACCCTGTCTTTCACATGGTGGCCCCGTTCTGACTGCTGCTGCTGCCTCCTGTCCCCTCTGACCCCTGGGGAACCTGTCACTGACCTTATGACCTTGTTATTGATCTGTGACCTTCTCTTTGACATGGTGCCCCTTAGATGGCCCCTTGGCGACTGCTGGTACTGCCCACCATTCCTTCTGATCGCTGGGGAATGCCACTGACCTCTGACCTTGTCTTTGACGCGGCCCTCAGATGCC